CGGGGATGGTGCTTTGGGCACCCCCCCGGTTTCAAAGAGGCAGCCTCTCCTCCCCGTCTGCACGGCTTCACCTTCGGGGTCCAGAAACCCCGCCTGCCCCCCCAGAGCCCAGGCCCCCATTGCCTGGCAGGTTCGCCCAACACGACGGGCAGGAGACGCCCTGCAGCCATTGGCTGGAATCTTGCTGCCGGGGGGGGGGCCGCCGGGGGGGCAGCCAGGCTCACCTTCTCGGCGTAGCTGATTTTCCCAATGCGGACGAGGACGAGGTGGCCCCGCGGACTCACCCCCTGCTGCCCCAGCACCGCAAAGTCCTCTCTGCGCCCGTAGTTGGCAAAGACGAGGCCCCCCTGGGGACAAGGAGGAGGGAAAGCTGGTCAGAGGGGATGGGGCCTTTCGATGGGGGGGAGGAGAATGCCCCCCCAGGGAAGAGGGCAATGAAAGACTACCATTCCCTTCCTGCCCCCTTCTGGGCCAAGGATTTTCTGGGCACCTTCCTTGAAGAGCTTCCAGCTCCAGGTAAAGGCTACCGCACTCTCCCCTTCGTATTTTTCGCTTATCCAGGATCTACAGCTGCCTTGGCAGATTACAAATTGCTCAAAAATGCAATAAAAAGATTGCCCAGAGTCGCTCTTGAGTGAGATGGGCAGTGACTGAATTTGAAATATAAATAAATAAAATTTTGAAAATCTTTATATAAAAAGTACACGACCAGGTCATTTGGCGTATTTGGGCTCTAATCTGTCTTATTTCTGTTGTTTTTAAAAAATAAAGGTTGTCCTGTTTTATTGTTTGGGGTTTTATCCTTCATCTAAATGGTGCTGCTTTCAGGGTGATACAGAGTCACTCTGCAAAATGAATAAGCAATGAAATAATTACAATCGCTCAATGTTCTTCCCCCTTTAAAGACAACCTTCTTATGGGGCATTAATAGGGTGCCCACAGGGTGTGGCCAAAGCAGTCAAGATTGCAATTATGATGGTACAATAGAAGCCCGTGGCCATCTTGACTTTTTTGACTCCCCTAGGCTCTGATACTCTGCGTGGATGAGCACCAGGACCAGACCGGGCGGACCAGAGAGGATTTCTACCTCTGAGCCCATGTCCGTACCCCAGATGGGGCCTGTCTGGGTCTGTGGGCCTTAAGGGGGTGTTTCTCAGTGTGCAGAGCACGCCGGGCATTACCACAACGGTGCCAGAGGCACTGTACGGGCAGTAAACCTCTGGGTCTTCCAGCAGCAGTTCCTCCATCACAGCCCCGCTGGCATCCACCCGCCGAAGGAAGTTGGGCTGCCGGCTGCAAGAGTGGGGCAGGACGCGTTAGAAGGCCCAGTGGCACCCGGCCTCCCCAGCACCCCCCC